ATTTGCTGCGTTTTTGTACATTTGTCCAGCTTTGCTCAGGGTCCCTTGAAAGATGCACCGAATCTCATTTGTACGCCCCACACAGCTTGGTATAGTGAGCAAGCCTCACTGGAGATGCGGGAGGCAGCCGCCACTGAGATCCGCCGGGCCATCACAGGTGAGCCCTCCCTCTGCACCCCTTGCAGCCGGCGCCTGGCGTGAGCCCCACGGTTCAGGTGCTCCTGGTACCGGTAACACACACACGCGCGCGCGCGCGGGAGGGGTGATGGAGGCTTGCGACGGGCAGAGAGAGTTTAGGGATCAAGTTGATTCCATTTTGAACGAATTGACGCAGTTTATTCGAGCCCTGAACTGAATTTCAGACAAAACCAATTTCCTCTCTCGTTGGCCATCATAAGCGTGCGAACTGCAGAGGGACCCCGAGCTCCTTTGTGCTCTGGCTGATGTCTGGGGTGAAGAGTTTGGTGTGTGGGCCCCGGAACACGGCACATTTTCTGAAACTCGAAGGGTTGGCCCTCTTATTATAAAGACACTTTACAGTCAGACTACCGTCAGTTCAAACATTGTAGGTGGTTCTCACCAGTACCAGCTACGAAGTAGAATATTTAACTCACTCCTTACAAAACACATAGGATTCTGGGACGCCTGAGTGGCTCAGTCGGTTGAGCACCCAACTTTGGCTCAGGTCATGATCTCACGGCTTGTGGGTTCGAGCCCTGCGTCAGGCTCTGTGCTGACAGCTCGGAGCCCTGGAGCCTGATTCGGGTTCTGTGTCTCCCTCTCTCTCTGCCCCAACCCACTCGCATTCTGTCTCTGTCTCTCTCAAAAATAAACAAACATTAAAAAAAAATTTTTTTAAACACATAGGATTCATTTTAATCATCGTGTTCCAGGTCGCATCCCCGAAAGCTTAAGAAACTGTGTGAACAAGGAGTTCTTTGTCACAACAGCGCCCTGGTCAGTAATAGATCAGCAAGCCATTCATCCGGAGCTCAATGGCGCCACATACAGGTGAGGAGCGGGATGGCATTGGCCGAGGCTGGTGTGCCGCTCAGGGGAGATGGGAGGAGAGTGGCATCAGCTACCCGACCTGAGTGCTCCCGGCATGATCTCTACAGTCCTTCGTTCCGATGCCCAATTTCTATGGAGCAAACACAACTCTCGGATGCAGCCTCGAGTCCGGGCTCCTATTTATAAAAGGAGGAGTGGGTCTGATCACTGCCAGAACCCCCACTGCATTCCAGGCCACTGCAAAACCAGAGGGCTTCTAGGTGAAAAGGTACCGGAAAGATTTTCAAGTGAAAGGGCATGTTGGTGACTCTTTCTGGTTTGAATCCTCTGGCCCAGAGCCTGGTGCTTTCGACTGGGGAGAGTGCCCGCAACGCACGGGTTCTCAGTGACGAGAAAGCTTGGCCCGGGGCATGTGTGATGGAGGCAGTGCAGGGGCATCTGCTCCGGGGAGACGAGCCACAGCCCCTTAGAAGGGAGCAGAATTTCACTGGTGGTCATTTCCCCTGGCTCTCTTTTCCCCGCCGTGCTGGGCTCACAGAATCACTGTTCCTGCTTCATAAAGGAGCCGCAGCCTTGAGCACTCCAGAAGGAAGTCTTTGTCTTGTTTACTGGAACGCACAGTTGCCCCATCCCTGGCAATATTCACATACCAGGCCAGATCATTCTCTCCTGGGAACCCGTCCCGTGCATCGTGGGGCGTGCAGTGGAGGCCCTGCCCTCCACCAGTGCCTCGCACTTCCAACCGGAATAACCGGAAATGGCTCTAGCTGTTGCCTAACATCCCCTGTTGCAAACCACCGCTCTAACCACGGGCCGGGGACATAGAAACACAGCTCGTGTAGTGGGAACCACACATGCAGGCCCGGACTCGGGGGAAGTTATGCTGCTTTCTTCACGGTCTCCTGGCTTCCCTATCAGTGCTGGACCCTGGTTCCCGCTCCGCACTGTTGTCCTTTAGAGGCCACAGCGTTAATTCTTACTTTTGACAGACCAAGACCCCGTGGCCCCTCGGAATACTTCTGCTTGAGGGGCTGTCGCTCACAGGATCCTATTCACCCGAGTCTGGGATTTTTGAGCACTGAACAGTTGTGACAGGCTACAGGAGGGGAGCCAGGAATAAAGGGCTTGATACCTTTGAGGAGTCTTGGAATTCTAAAGCACCTGCCCCTAAGTATGTTTCATCCTAGGGATGTTTAAATACACTGACTCACATTTGCCTAAGAACCGTATGTTCTGTAGGCGGCTTAATGCCACGTGTCCTTGCACACACAGCGACTTGTGTGCCCGCGACGTCAGATGGCCCACCACCAGCTCCCCTCTCCCCCTGCCGCTGTGTCCAGGCCACGACAGCACGGAGCTAGCTCGCCTAGGAGGCCGCACTTAACTATCAAAGAGGACTTCATACTGCCTGTTGGCAAGTCATTAAAAGCATCGATGTGTCTTTTTTGTGCAAAGTATTTCCCAAATGTAGTACGGGCTGGTCCTGTTGTGCGACAGGAAGCTTCCAGATTGAACTAAACAGACTTCATTGCGAGTTAAACGTCCGTGCTTTAGATTTTTCACATAGAGGTCTCCTTGCGTTGGGGGTAAGGGGTGACAAAGTAACTCCTAAAAAACCAACCCGAAGCAGGCAGAGCCAAGAGCTTGGCCACTTCCAGCCCGGGACTCACTGGCCCTTTCTGTGTGTGCTCCTCAGATACCCGCCAGGCATCGTGGGCGTGGCTCCCGGAGGACTTCCTGCGGCCATGGAAGGGATCATCCCCGGAGGCATCCCGGTGACTCACAATCTCCCCACCGTGGCACACCCTTCCCAAGCTCCCTCTCCCAACCAGCCTACAAAACACGGGGACAATAGAGAGCACCCCAATGAGCAATAGCAGAGAATGACGAACGGTCATCCTTCAGATAAACCTGGGACCAAGAGACAGTGACAAATAGATGAACTAAGGAAAAGGAATCTGACCGTCTTTTTAACCGATTCCGGACACGCCTCACTGATGTCGCAGTGTTACATACGAGTTAGACGCCGAGACGCGGGGAAGCAGAAGCTGTCGTCTGGTTACGGAAGTGCTGAAAAGACTAGGACGTGATTTATTAACGACCAACTTCTGTTATTGTGTGTTACGTTCTTCATCTGTGCATCAAATCACAAAGAATAAATAGATCTTTTTCCTTTATCAGCCCCTTGGGCACAGCAGGTCCTCAACACCTTGCTCTAGAATGTTGCATCTGAAGTTCCAAACGTCAAAATAAAAAATGCTAAGAGGAAATCCCCCTCCTATGACTCTAGTCCCTTCGGTCCGTGGGGGCTGGTGACCTCTTTTGCTAATAGGAAGATTCAGTTACTACAAGATGGGGAGGAGACTGTTGGCCTGTGTCACACAACCGCAAGCATAGGATCGAGGACCATACAGCCTCCTGTACAGAAGCCTCTCTCCCATCTGAACTGCATACTGAGTGGGAGAGTTGGTTGTGAAGTCAGTAATACCCTCTGATGATGCAAAAAAAAAAAAAAAAGAAAAGAAAAAAAAGAAAAAAAAAAAGAAAAAAAAGTATTAAGTTTCACAAGCTGTTTGTACTCAAATATATTTTCTCAGTTTCAGATCCTCAGCTATTTTATTGAGTGGAAAGTCTTGAGCTAAAAGAGTTCAAGAAAAATAATGTTGCATTTCCTTATGTCTCAGGAAACACTTTTTATGGTAACTTGTCAGATTGTCTATGAACAAACCCACTTTTTTAGACATTGATAAAGTCTTCTTTTCTTCACGTGATATTTTATACAAGAACACTTCAGGTGTGTTATTAGATGTGACTGATTTTAACAAATCCTATTAGATTTGTATCAACTAGTTACATGTTATATTCATAGTCTTTTGTGAATCATCGCCTTTTTGTTTAAAAGATGGCCTATTTTGAGCCTTTGTATAGGTACATTCCTGTTTTTGTGACAAAAAGAAAAAAAAAAAAAACCTTTAAAACTGTCCCAAACAGAAAAATAATGGCTATCGGAACTGTTTTGTTTTCGTGTGAGTCACCGTTCCTGTATTTGTTTATTGTAAAGGTGGACATATAGCGTTCAGTGCAGTTTTCAATAAAAAGTAATAAAAATTTGTTAAGTTCTGAAATTCAAGTACATCTCACCCATGTAAAAGTTCTCTACTTGAGATGTTTTAAAAGCAAATCCATTTTCGATCAGCCAGTTTCCGATTCCTGTTACTTCAGGCAGGGTTCAAAGGTGAACAGTTTCCTTCTCTACCTATTCATAACCAGACTCAAGAATGCGGACGATCACCCGGGAAAAGTCAAAACCTCACATTACGAAGCCCATCGCTATCAGATGATGCCATCCTTCAGATGGAACTAAGTCGATTCAAGAAACAAAATTGGTCAAGTTAGAGAGTTCTGCTTTTAATTTGCCCAAAAGCAAAATTACCTGGCTCAAGCATTAATGCAGGAAGGGAAGTGAATCTCAAAATTCTTTTAAATGCTATTTACAAAGAAATGTTGTAAAATGGTAACATCAGTCATTCCCATCTGTTAAGGACTTAGGTGTAAAGGATTTTCCTCCTTGACTAGCATTAAGCCCCTTTGTGCTCGTGGCCTGTGCAAGTACTAGTCGACCACTCCAGTCCAATTCCAGGTACCAAACTCCCTCTCGCTCCCTTCCCGTTAAGAAAAGGGTGTCTTCAAAGCATCAACCTCCCTCACCGGGGTGAAGGTGGTGGTCCCATCTCAGCCCTCCCAGAAAAATCACATTAAAACAGCCTCCTCTGGACAGGCAGGAGCACGTGGTAACTGACCCACCACCCCAGGAAACCCAATGGGAGCTGAACATCCTCGTCATAACCAGGATGTTGGCAACGAGGGCGTGACACGTGCACACGAGATTCCCCACCTGCCTAAAGAGAGCAGTGCTCCCTTAACACAGACGAAGTCTGGGACACGGTGAGCCTAGAGTCGGAAACAAAAAGGCCGGTTCCAGTCCGTGGTGCACCTAGGTTTTGTTTAATTAGAACAGAAAACCCCACACTGTATTCTCCCTAAAAAAACAAGACAAACCATAAAGTTAATTCCATACAGTTCTGGTATTACTGTCCAGAGTCCACCAAGACATGACCTTCGAGAAAGGACTGCGTACTCTCATCTTGGGATGACAGCCATGGCTATTTAATCGCTCAAGAGCTGAACCTAGCACTGACTCACCAACATTCTGGCCTCTTCCAGCCAGTCTGCTGTGAAAACCATTTAAAGCCCTGTCCCTGCCTGGAGCCTAGGAAATGCAATCCTCTACCTTTCCCACAGGGAAGAACGCTGTACCTGTTAAACTAGGTGTGGTCGGGATCACTGATCATAAATAAATAAATAAAGAGGCACCTCAGGGGAAACCACTCAGCAGACCACCATACACAGGCTAAATACTGAGCCTATGCTTTCTGGACAGCACTGACTGCAGTGTAGACCATAGTGACTAGATGCTTCTCTCAAGCATTTCTCTTTGGCTTCTTCAATTGGGAGGGCAGTGTGCTTACCAGCAACTAGAACAGGATCTGTGCCCACTGAAGAATTATTCCTACGTACGGAGAAAAGTTTATAGAGATGCTAAGTAGTCAGACAGCCTTCTAAAAAATTACTGACCAAAATGAAAGTAAACCATAGTCAATCTGTAGGAAAACATACCCACCTGGAACAGTGACATTTACCATTATTACATCACATTTCATTTATACGGAATCAAATTGCAAGAGTTTCCTGCAAGTTTGAGCATACAGCAAAAGTGATCCTTCGTTCTGGGAGTATCTTTCAATGGACATTTCTGAGAGGAGAAAGAACTAAAAGGACATCTCCTGGGTGTTTTTCTATTTTTAGTATTCCAGCATCAAATTAGAGGCTGTGCACATTTCAAACACCATCTAAACAGAACTGAGAAGAAAACAAGTATTTAAAGGTTTCTCGCGGCCTTTTCATCAAAGGGAAGGAAGCGTGTGCAGCGGGGGGGGGGGTTCTTTCCAAATTCCTTTGCCACGTCAATAGTCTACAAAGTGCTTATCAGGACACGAAGTCTTTGTGCTCCTGAGATAGGTCTGAAATTTTTACCCAGTACTGAACATATACCTGAAGTGGTCAAATAATACTTTTTATAAAAAAATTTCTATCTAAGATTATAGTTTGAACTTTTAAATAAGAATGGCCACAATTAACCAACATGCACAAATTCTCAGACTGCTCTGAGAAATTCATTATACAATGCATTTACCACCTTACTGCATTTTTAAGTCTTTATTCTATGCTTAACTGATTCCCAATTAGCCCAAGCAAAGGCATGCCTCCCTAACACAATTGGCCGAAAGCAGAGCTGATGATAAAAGGAAGCATTCCAAAGAGCCTCTGCATGGCAATTTGGGAGAACATTGTCAACTGAATCAAGTGAGCGAATTTCACACAATTGACGTAGTCACGCGTGGGCCTGCGCCCCGAGCGCTTCCCTGACATCCAGGGAGGAACTGTTCCCGAGGACACTGCCGTGTGGGACTCTGGTGGAAGAACCCTCATTTTAAGGGCACTTTCCAAACGAATAAATGCCTGAATACCGAAAAGGGGCATATCAGGAGCTTTTAAAAAGGACAAAATAATAGAAACCCAAACCCTTTCCAAAACAAGGGAATGACGTCTGTATGAAGTTCCCTCAATCCTTACTTTCCTTCCTTGCAGTTTGTTCCTTGAAGATTTGGTTTCATTTTATGGGGCACAACAGGAACTAAATTATTAATAAAAGCTTGTTTTTATTTTTACGTGTGGCTGTGGATAATCTGTACAAAAAGTTTCCAGATTTCTAATGAGCTCTAGTGAGACTCAACGTAAAGTGGATCTTTTAAGGTCGAAGTAGAATGTCGGGTTCTACTTAAAAAAGAAGATCTCGAAGGAACAAAGAGTCATCTGCCATGTGCTTTTGGAGGTGCCCGTGCTGAAAAAAAGTCTCGATAATATGAAGATGCTGGTACAACTTGTCCTATTACACAACTTCTTACACAACCACATGCGTTACATTTATAGACAGATTTACAATTTGAAAGGAAAAAAGTTCTGTCTTAATAAAATTAGGGTTTTTTTTTTTTTTCTTTTTTACAAACTGTAGTCCAAACAAAGGTCTCTGTCTCCTCACGCAGCAGATTCGTCTCCACCGGGTGTGGACAAGAGACACCCTTCCCGGCAGGTCCAGCCACATCTGGGTCCCTCGGCGCCCCCCACTCCGCCGGGAGCGCGCACCACACTAGCTCTGGGGTCGCCGCAGAGCCGATACCCTGGTCTTCTGCTCTTGGGTCTTGTTTTCATTCATCTTCATCATCGTCGTCTTCCTCTCCATCAGACAGGGAAGTACAAGGCCGGATCTGTCTGTAGCGGTCAAGCCACTTCTCCACCATGTGCGTGACCAGCGGGTGGTTGCGCCGCCGAGAGCTCTTTTGCAGGGCCACCAGCACGCCGCCCTCGGTCACACAGCAGTCCAGCCACTCCCGGAGTAGCTTCTCCTGCTGCTCCTCGTTACCTAGCTTTTGGAGGGATGTGAAGAGGGAAGAGAGGATCACAGATCAGAGGCCTGCTAGGAAAAATGCATGGAAACATAGCTGGTATGATTACTGATGAAAAGGTCAAAGCAACAAACTTCACATGGTTTCAGCCTCTTGTCAATTTTACAATTAAAACCCAGTTTCCTACGGTTAAACAGAAAAACATCAGTGGCGGGGGCGCCTGGGTGGCTCAGTGGGTTGAGCGTCAGGGCTTTGGCTCAGGTCACGATCTCACGGTTTGTGAGTTCGAGCCCCACATCGGCCTCTGTGCTGTTGGCTCGGAGCCTGGAGCCTGCTTCGGATTCTGTGTCTCCCTCTCTCTCTGCCCCTCCCCTGCTCACTCTTTCTTTCACTCATTCATTCTCTCTCTCTCTCTCTCTCTCTCTCTCAAAAATAAACATTTAAAAAAAAATTCAGTAGGAAAATTGGCAGAAAAACACCTCGAGGGGAAGAACCATCTAGTAATAGGTTAATTTGTTTGCCAGAACAGGAAAAACCAAATGTTAACCTAATAAACCTATGGTGGCAAAGAAAAGGCTAGAAAAACAAAGTCTCAGCTTCAAACACATGACAAGGTAAGTTTATTCAGTATTTACAGAAAGAAGTTATAAAAATTATGGTCTATTAATTTTTTTCTTAATGTGATTATAACAGTTTTATAATAATGACTAGTACATTAAATAAAAGACCAATAATTTTTGTAAGAATGTGCGTTTTCTGAGAGCGTTCTTTCTGCGCATCCTCACCATCACCCCTGCCTGGGTCTCCACCTCCCTCCACTCCCCACCCCATCTGCAACACCCTCCGACCTGGGCTCCCGCTCCCCCCGCTGCCCAGGCATCTCATCTCCACGCTGAGCAGCTGGTGTTCCTCTACTGGGCAAGCTGGTTGTTGGCTTCCCAGCTTGCAAAGTCAAAGCCAAGGCTGCTGCTGAGTGAGCCCCTTGCCATCCCTTAGCCCTTCGACCCCCTCTACCTACCACCCTCGTCCTCCCTATCCTGCAAGACTCCTCTTCTGGGTCTCGGGGGCAGGGTCACCTCCTCCTCAGATGCCTTTGGTCACCACCCGATTAAACATGTTTTCTATATATTTATTTATTTGAGAGAGAGGGAGACACAGAATCGGAAGGAGGCTCCAGGCTCCAAGCTATCGGCACAGAGCCTGATGCGGGGCTCGAACTCACGAGCCGTGAGATCTTGACCTGAGCCGAAGTCGGATGCTCAACCGACTGAGCCACCCAGGGGCCCCTGGTTACCACCCAATTTAAATCACCAGGCCCAAGTCCCCCGTTGTCCCCTCCCCCCGTCTTTCTACTTTTGCCCTCAGCGCTCCTCACTACCTGAGAGGGAGGGTGCGGGGGACTTTTGTCTTGGCGCCACCGCTGAAATCTCCACGTAACACAACCCGCCCCACAGCTGAAAAAAGGTAAACTTCGAAGTCTGGCTGACCTGTATTTACACAAAGGGACACTAACTACGGCCAAATCAGAAGCTTCCGCTGGCAGCACAGGGAACACCCCGCCGGAGAGGTGTCCCGGGCCGGGCTGCGGCACAGACGCTACTGGAGGAGCCAATGGGAGCGACGCGCCTCTCACCTCCTGAGCAGAAAGAAAGTGCACATGCAGTAACTTCCTTTCGCTGTCCACCAGAGGCAAGAACGTGACAGTGACGTCGTCGTCCGTGTTCAGGTTAGCACCAGCACCTCGGTTGCCGTAGCCATCGTTTTCCATGGCAACCAAAGCAGAGAAGTGGCCCCTTGTATAGCCCAGAGCGATCGGACTTTTCCAACAAAAACTCTGTTCCCACAACAAAGGCAAATAAACACCTGGAGGGAAGAAAGACCAGCACAACAGGGTCATCGGGACTGGGCTGCAAAGCGTGTCCTACAGAAGGAGACTTCTAAAATACAAAATACACTTGAGTAAGGGCTTACCTTGAAACCGAGTATATCCTAAAGTTTCTCCCCGGAAACTTTTATAATATTTCACTCCATAAACTATAATTGGTCGTCTAAGAATATGTGCAAGTACAAAAATGTGCGTCTGTTCCAAGCTTGCTCCAGGCTGTGCGGAGTAAAATAAAAAAGTAATTTCTCTTTAAAACGTTCACTGCCACCCAGGAAAACTGATGTGCAGAGCACAGAGCTCCTCCCCGTCCGTGCGCTAGATCCGTTTTTTTCTTTTAAATAACACCGTCAAGCTAAGTGAGCATAAAATTCTGCAAATTCTTCCAACGCAGTCATAAAGGAAATCTGCGAAGCATACGTATACAGGTATCTTTCGCTATCCAAACTCAAGAAGCCAACAGACTGGGGTGAATACTGATCACAGGAACAAAAGCCGCAGACGGCAAGGGATGCCTGGTGCACGGTGACCGCCCGCTGGGGAAGGTCCCTGCGAAACCCGCACCCACGACGAGGTCCTCCCCAAGTAAAAAGAGGAGCTGCTGTTTCAGGCAAACTTAAAACTCAGCACCGCCTAATTCAAGACGACTACACAGGCCCACCGCCCCTCTGACAACAAATGGGACAACACGTTTTCAGAAAGTACACGTCACAGCTGTAAAACAGCCACTGTGACAGAAGGTACTTCGTTCACAGGGTTCAAATAAATCACAGCGCTCTCTGCAAAGAAAAGGAATGGTCTCCTGTGTGTGTTTCTGAATGTTCCGGTTCGCTATACTGAACATGCTTCATGGAATAAAACTAGCTTGAAAGCCAGAACCCGAGAGGAACGACCATGCACAATTCATTTTTATAAAAGTTCATTCCCAAGTTAATTACAAATAGCTCCACCTGTTGGCCATGGCACCTCCCCCCGTGGGCCCGACAGCAGAGCACCGGGACCAGAGTGCCCGCCGCACCGCACAGTGATCTTCGTTAGGTACCCCCTCGGACACGGAACTAGTAGGTAGATGAAACGGGCCTAATGCCACCTTTCTAAGACAACAACATATATGAAGAGCAATCTGAAAAGGCTACGTAAGCCCTTACGATCATCACAGGACAACTTTCGTCTTGTCACTCAATGGAACTGCGAAACACACAGTAGCGTCTCTGTCCTGCAGGAGGACTCACGTATGGTCACCCAGCTGACAGACCATGGTCACGACCAGAAACCAAGGCACCCGCTGCCAAGCCAAGCACTCTTCTGCTCCTCCCAAGCCACCTGCAATCTGGCTTCCGCGTGTACATCAAGGGACTGAAGAACACGCAGCCAACTTCTCACGGAAGCAACACGCCTCGCGGCATTCTCACCTGGCTGGCAAGAGACAGTATGAATGCCCAGTCTTCTTGCCACTGTTCTTCCCTCAAGGAGAAATGTAAACCAAAGCTCTGAGAATACCACGATTCCCAATCTTTCCAACGTGTGTAAAACCTAAAACGGCAAGACAGTAAACAATTAGCCTTCTGTAAGCAGTACGTTTAATGTGCCATTTAATGTAGTCTTTAAGCAATTCATGTAAAGAGATGAACAATTTTATTAATTTTCCCCAGTTTGCCATTTATTTTCACATCAAAAATGCCTACGCTCTACCAGCAGACATCACGTAACATGTTCTCACCAGAACTTTAAACACTAATAAGGAGATCAATTCATTTCAAATGTCTACTACTGACTGACGGAGTTCAAAAAGAAATAGAACATTCGGAATCATCTGAGATTGTGGATACGATCAAAGACACTACCATTTTACGTTAATACGTAGAACGCACTACTGGGTCACTGTGTAAACAACAGACTGGAAAATAGCCCACGTATTCACTAGGTGTATCAACATCGCTCCCAGAGCAAGGCCCTAATGCTCTTCAATTCGATGAAGGCTCAGAGAAGTGAGGAAAGTAGCAAAGAAAAATCTGAAACTAGCAGAGGTTGGTTCACGAGGTTTAAGGAAAGAAGCTATCTCCAGACATCAAAGTGCAAAGCGAATCAGCAAGTGATACAGAAGCTATGGCATGTTTTCCAGAGAACCTAGCCAAAATCACGAAGGTGGCTACACTAAACAAATTTTCAATGCAGATGAGACAGCATTCTACTGGAAGAAGATGCCATCTAGGACTGGTATAGCTAGAGAGGAGCAGTGCCTGGCTTCAAAACACAGGCTGACTCTCTTGTCAAGGGGGCTGATGCCGCTGGTGACTTTAAGTTGAAGCCAATGCTCACTGACCGTTCCAAAAATCCTAAGGCCCTTAAAACTGTGCAAAATATACTCTTGCTCTATAAAAAGAACAACAAAGCCTGGATAACAGTACGTCCATTTACAATATACTTTCCGAAATATTTTAAGCCCACTATTAATGCCTACCCCTCATAAAACTCCTTTCAAAATATTACTGCTCACTGACAACGCACCTGCTCGCCCAAGAGTTCTGATGGAGATAACCAGATTAATGTTCCCATGCCTGACAACACCATACCCACTCTGAAGCTTATGATCAAGGACTAATTTCAACTTTCTAGGCATTATTTGAAGTAAGGCTACTGCAGCCATAGACACTGACTCTTCAGATGGATTTGAGCAAAGGAAACTGAAACGTGTCTGGAAAGGATTCACCATTCTGGATGCAATTAAGAACATTCCTGATTCATGTAAAGAGGTCAAAATAGCAACAGGAGTTCAGAAGGAGTTGATTCCAACCCTCACGGAGGACTCTGGGGGGCTCAAGACTTGCGTGGAGGAAGTTAACTGTAACTAGAAGGGGGGCCCGAAGACGGGACTAGGCTGCTGCCATCTTGTGACAGCATTGGAACGGACGAGGACTTGCTTCTCATGGATGAGCGACGAAAGGGTTTTTTGCAATGGAATCTAAAACTGGTGAAGCCGCCGTGAAGACTGTTGAAATGACAACAGAGTGATTTAGAACATGACAACCGTAGTTGATGCAGCAGTGGCAGGCTCTGAGAGGACGGACTCTGATTTTGAAAGAAGTTCTAAGAAAAATGCCATCAAATCACATCGCACGCTACAGAGAAACCATTCATGAAAGGAAAGGTCAATCGATAACTTCACTGGCGTCTTATTTTAAGAAACTGCCACGGCCACCCCGGCCTTCAGCAGCCACCACTCCGATCAGCTGGTAACCATCAACATCAAGGCAAGAGCCTTCGCCGGCAAAAAGACTATGACTCACTCAAAGTTCCACTGATGCTCAGGGCTTTTTTTTTTTTTTTAAAGACCTACTGCTATAGCACTGACTACGGACTACAGGATACTGTAAACATGAGCTTCTATATGCACTGAGGAAACCAAAATACTCCTTTGGCTCACTTTATGAAGACAGTCACTTAACTGCAGTGGTCTGGAACTGAACCCACGTATCTCTGAGGTATGCCTGTACGTATTATACGCTGAATCGGGAAGGTTCTTCTAGGTTTGCCAGCCAGGGAGCTTAGTTTTTTTTTTTTTTTCAGGTGACTTCAAAGTTCTCCTCTATTGCATTATTATGCTTTGATCGATAATTTCGCTCTCAAGGAAATTATTCAGCTGCTCTCATGTTCGAATTCTCGAGAGTGCTTCCACTCAGTACCGTTTACTGCACACTATGTGTCACGCTATTGGAGGCACGACATCTTCCACAATGAAACACAACAAAACCTCTCTTCTCAGAGTTTACATCCTAATGGACTTCACGTAATCCCTAAATACTGACAACAAAATTCACAACTAGTAAGTGCTCAAAGATTATATAGAGATACTAGGGTAATAAAGTTATTTGGAGTAAGGTCATTATCATTACTCTGTCAGCATTCAAGTAGGTGTAAGAGAAAAAAAGCACCTTTTCATTAATTTAAGTTTCTTTTGGCCTCAGTTTTCTCATGGAGACGATGTAAGTCAAGTCAGTATAAAGCCAAACTGTGAGTCACAAGCACAGTCGTCATTTCCACTGATTAATACCCCAGTGGGTGAATTTACAGTTCAAGACCAGTTATATACTTGACTGGATGACAGGGTAAAACAAAAACATATACAGGATCCCCCCACTATCTGCAAGTTCACTTTACGCCCCTTCACTTTTATGAAAGACCTACATTAGCACCTGTTTTTGCCAAAACGAAATCTGAAGAGGACCTTCACGGCTACAAAACGGTCGCTGGATCTTTGCTTTGCGCCATTTCAAAAGCTGACAAAAGGTTTCACAGAGATGCTACTTTTGGATAGCAAGGAAAATCTGTATACATAAAGGGCATTTTTGAGATAATTGGAAGATGGGTTATGCACCGTACATTGAATTACAGGGTCATGGTTGATTTTTTTTTTTCAAGTTTATTTATTTTGAGAGAAAGCGCGCATGTGTGCACGCGTGAGAAGGGGAAGGGCAGAAAGGAGAGAGAGAATCCCGAGCAGGCTCCACGCCGCCCACCTCAGGGTTCAATCTAAAGAACCGTGAGCTCGTGACCTGCGATGAAATTGAGAGCTGGATGCCTAACTGACCGAGCCCCCCAGGTGCCCCACACTACTGATTTCCTTAGACGTGGTAATGAGGATATGGTTGGGTAAGAGAATATCCTTGTTCTTCAAAGATACATGCTGAAATACCGACCGGTACGAAGCATCGTGATGACTTAAACTCATGAGCAAAGGGAAGTGCTTACACATGCAGAGACGAAGCACACATGGCTAACCATGAGCCATTGGGCAATCCAATGAAGGAACACTGGGGTCTGTTGCACTGATTTCTTTAACTTTTCTATGGATTTCAAAATGTGCAAAATAATATGTGGTCTGAAGACTATGTCCCTAAGGAAAAAAACCTCACAATACAATACCAACATAATCTTTTCAATATTAAACACAACTATGAAATCATAATACTTAAAAATGTGGGCAAAGACCTTATCACTATTTAAGGCTACTACTGCAATGTTACATGTTTCTATGCTAAAGCTCAGCAAAAAGGTATAAAAGCCATCAAAATGTTCCAAATGTCTCAATGTACAAAGTCAAATTTTTCCTGCCTAGCTTCCACAGGAAATATAACAGGAGAAAACTACCCCAACACTGTAAGGAAATGACTCAGCAGGAGCACACCTGGTTTTAAACAGGGAAGGGTGCCAGCTCACCAATGTGAACAGTCATGCAGGCTGTCATGCAGGGCTTTCCGAAGCACCGAGTCCTTGTCATAAATGCCCCAGGTAGCTTGTAGCACTGAATCAAGTAAGCAGTCTCCTGCAGTCCGGTTCCAAAGCGCATACAGTCGACTGTCCAAACGGGTAGCCAACTCCAAAGACCAGTTTATAATTGGAGATTCTTCTTCTAACTCTGTATAAGGAATTTAAATATCAAGTCCATTCTTTTTGTTTTTTAATGTTTATTTGGGGGGGGGGGCGGGGGGCGGGCAGAGTGTGGGCAGGGGAAGTACAGAGAGAGAAGGAAACACAGAATCTGAAGCAGGCTCCAGGCTCTGAGCTGTCAGCACAGAGCCCAATTTGGGGCTCAAACCCACAAACCGCAAATCAAAGACTGAACGACTGAGCCACCCAAATGCCCCAAAATAACATGTTTGTTTTCATGCCTATGCAATTCAGGACTATTCACTGGAGGAAAGAACCCACTCTGTAGATGTATTAATAAGTTTATGTCTAATTTACTATTAAACACGTAAATAATTTTGATCAATTGAAATATAAACCTTCTGAGTAGTGGAAACATCTTGTGGCTCTACAATATTTTTCTCAACTTTTCAGTTCTTTACAATTTATTTTCTAAAAATGTTTAATATGGAAATATACTCATTCTAGAACAGGAAGTAGAAAACCATGGTGAAACATTTTTATACCTTTATTTATTCCCTGTATCACAGTTAAGAGCCATGAATAAGCATTCATAATTTTTTTTTCCAGTTTTACCGAGATAAAATTGACAGAATGAACATTTTTTTTTTAAATGTTTATCTATTTTGATAGAGAAAGACCATGAGCAGCGGACTGGCCCGGGGGGGGGGGGGGGGAGGTTGCAAGCAGCTCCATCTGCACGGTCAGCGCAAAGCCCAATGAGCGGATTGAACCCACAAACCATGAGATCATGACCTGAGCCAAAATCAAGAGTCGGACACCCAACCAACGGAGCCACTCAGGCACCCCGACAGAATGAACATTTTTAACGTCACAATGTGACACTGAGGGACTTTATGTTTTCAATCAAAGTAAAAATAAAACAAGTCAACCATACAACTGAAGTGCTCCAAACCTTAGAAAACAAAGAGCTTAGGGAAATTAAACTAAATCACACTCATTAATTCCACACTTACCTTTCTGAACATCTCTATCGAGCACCTCATCAAATAATTTTTCTTGGACTGTTGGAGGCAAGTCTTCAATATCTACAAATCAAAAAACAGACTTAAAAGATTTTCTTACGTTTCGTAACTTAATTTGATACCAGCATCTAACAGAAACTTCCTCTAAAATAACTCCCTTGTCAATGAAGGCGGTCGGATAGCTTCTTTTAAAAACCATGCATAGGGGCCCCTGGGTGGCTCAGTCGGTTGAGTGTCCGACTTCAGCTCAGGTCATGGTCTCACAGCTCATGGGCCCGAGCCTGGAGCCTCCTTCGGATTCTGTGTCTCCCTCTCTCTGCCCCTCCCCTGCTCACACTCTCTCTCTCTCAAAAATAAATAAACATTAAAAAATATAGATATTAAAAAACATGCATGTGTAATGTGTGTGCATACATGTAAAGTAAAATATTTTCTTTCTGTACTTCATTATCAAAACTGTTCTCTACCTAAAAATAATATAAAGTATATCTGGACCAATAATTGCATATAACTATTGTCAAAAAGACAATACTGGTAAAGAAGTGTAAAAAGGGACCCTTGTGCACAGTCAGTGGGAATGTAAACTGGTGTAGCCACCACTTAAAACAGGGTCCTCAAAAAGTCAGAAGTATCATCTGACCCAGCAATCCCACTTCAGTGTGTGTGTGTGTGTGTGTGTGTATCCGAAGTAAAACAGGATATCGAAGAGGTACTGAACCCCCATGTTTGTTGCATTACTCACAACAGCCAAGACCCAGAAACAACTCAAGTGTCCATCGATGGATGAATGAATAGTGATGTGGGGTGTGAATGTGTGTGTGTGTGTGTAAAATGACATGTTATGAGTGTGTAAAATGACAGGTTATTATTCAGCCAGGTGAAAAAAAGAAATCCTACCATTTGCAACAACATGGATGGACCTTGAGGGCATTAGGTGAGGTGGAATTAGCCAGAGAAAGACAAGACAAAAAAAAAAAAAAAAGTCAAACTCATAGAAACAGGGTAGAAAAGAGGTTACTAACAGCTTGGGCAAGGGAGGAAGATAAAAATTGGTAAAAGGGTACAAAAACTTCCAAGCTATAAAATGAATAATGTTGAAGACCTAAGGAAACACCATGGTAACTATTTAACACTGTGTTGTATAACTGAAATTTGCTAGGAGAAGTTACATGTTCTCATGGAAAAAAGATACATAAACATGGGATGGTGGGTGTGTTAATGAACTAGATGGGGGGAATCCTTTCACAATTTGTGCAAGGATGAAATCACAACAGACACATTAAATATTTGACAAGTAAATGACAACTCTCTCTCATTAAAACTGAAATAAAAGGAAAAAAAAGAGCAGGGCTATCTGATATTCAAGTTAATGATAATAGTAACAACCACATACAAATGTTTATCTGCCCTGGTCTCCCCACACTCTCAACCTCTGCTCAGGCCTATTGTTTTCAGACTTCAGAATCTTCTCATAAAAGCTAACGAGCCATTAATTTTTGGCACACAGATCTCTGGTTCTGTCATCCTCCTCAAATTCTCTACGGTTTGTTCAGTTTGCTAATGGAGCAGTCTACAGTAAAAAGCATTCCCCTTAAAAATTCTTAAAAAAAAAAAATTTTTTTTTAAGCTATTTTCAAGTCAGAGTAAAAATCTAAACATCACCAGAGTAAGCTTAAATATACAGAGTGCACTTCAAGTGAAATCTGATTTTAAAAGTCTTAGTGATGATCTCCTACCATTTGTACACGCCCGTGTTTATGTCTATATAAAAGCTCAAGACACGTAGAATCAAGATGGAAGCTTTATTTTAGGAACTTTTGGTGTTTGGTGCATTTATTCAACGCCAAATGACCAAAAGGATCCCGGAAGACACTTCCAACTGTCACTGAATGGAAAAATGAAAAGCTGCGTCCCAAACACGGTAGAAATTAATAGAATGAGTGCAGAACATAGTAATGACACTTTCAAAAGAATGCCAGTATCTTCGATTCAAAAAATCTGACTCCACCCATCAAAAGCCCACGTTCTAATCCTATCTCCTGATACCAATAGCCAATGCCTATGTAATTTTAAAATAGGCATGAGTAAGAAAAAAAAAGTACACTGATAATATCCTAAAGTAAAATTGGAGAGAAAAATAAACGGCTAAAACAGATTTTTTGAAACATCTAAGGCCCACACCGAAATCAGTGGTTATCAGCCGCTATCTTCCTACCAGATCCAAAGCTGAAGTTTTACAAGGAGCCCCTGGACTGGTCACTTCCAGGATAAATACGGTAGTCAAGCAATTTAAAATGCACACATAGTAGCTAAGTTATCTGCTTTAACAGAAACCACTTCACTCACACCCAACAAAAACAATTATAATGAAGTGAACATTTCTTTTCACACTGAAATTTGGAGTTACCTGCTGGCAACGTAAATGTTACAAGGTCAGTGAGAAAATAGCAAGCAAAATCCCCCTTTCTCTGATGAAGAGAGGCAGCGATCTCTCGCCGGATTTGTTCTGTCAGTTCGGGACACACCATTGCAGGAATACACTTGGCTGCTTGTTGAGACACCTTAAATACAAAAGAAACTTTCCTCTGCATCTCATTTAACATTAACGTAAGCAGAAAACAACAGTATTTAAAAGAAATGACCAAACCTTCCCCGTAACTCAGGGTGTTATTTTGTTCATTTTAAAATAGATTAGGCACTATTTCCTCACCAGTGGAAGTACGGTTCAGTACAACTTTCCAGGAGGAAACTTACTTCCTAGGAATTTCTCCCAAGGAAATAAAATTTATGTAAAATGGTGTTGTTCACAAAGGTTCATCCTAGGGAGAGGGAGGGAGGACAGAAAACCACCTAAGTAAAACTAAGCATCATGCCCCCAATAAAAGCATTCTTAAAAAACAGGAAATTCCAGCTCATGGAGAAAGAGGAAAGTGCAAACACTCTTCTCCCGCTGGGTTAAGTAAGAATATTTCAAGCACCTTGACGTGGAATAAGGAAAGCATGACATTTTTGAAGGGTTAGTTCCCACTGACCTCAAATCCTTCCCCATCCGTTATACTTCTGAATATGTAAAAAAAGCAGCTGGCTTCTCTAAGTGTGGAAGAGAGAGGAATGAAATGTGAGCAGTGACGTAGGTAGTGAGCACTCCGACAGAGAACTTCGAAACAAGGAGATGGCTAGAACCTTCCTTTTCTTTTCAATGATGGATAGCCACAAAAGCAGCAGAGATATTTTACATTTAAGCCGCATGCCTTTGTGGAGCTCAAAAACTCGGCATACAAAGAGTTCTGAAGTCAAAGGTGAGTATCTTCTACAGAGGAAGGGAGTCTGGCGTGAATCCTGTGTGAGCCAGTCACCAGACCACAACCACTGACCTCTGACCCGGACAACCTGCCCAAACGAACGTTTCCAGTCACAAGTGGGGTCTGGAGCAGATCTGCCAATAAGCCACTCACACTTTGACCAATAATGTCATCTACATATCTGGGGACAATGAATTGTAATTTTTATTAAGGTAAGTGAACAGGGTCTCAAAAACCCTGCACCAACACAAGCATCAGACATCGTATTCTGAAAAATCCTACATGAAAATTCAGTGCTTCTAAATTTTACTGGCCAGGATTACCAGTAACAATGAAATTCTCACTACCTCTTAACTCCATAAATCCAATCATTATGTGACACTCCAATTATGGAAAATGAAGTATCAAATATTTTCAGAATATAACAATTTCTCAAGTAACAGTTTAAATGGATCCCAAAATAAATTCAAAAACAGCTGATTCTAATCTGCTAGTCCTCTGCCCTGTTCCAAAACCTGGGACGGTTTCTTCGAAAACAAGTTGATCTGTGACATGAAAACTGCGAACACCCCGCATTCCTGTAAGGGGAACCTTCCAGCGGGGGGCGGGCACGCATCCTCCTCCCACTGGCGTCCTTCAGCCCCGGACCCTGTCGCCTACCCCTTGGTCTCCTAGCCTCTTCAACCCTATCCCCTTAGGCTAGTAATTCTTACCTTCGAGCGCGTGAACTTGTTGGGAAGGATCTGTGAACCTAAATGTTCATTAAATTTTAATCCTTCATTTTCACTAACCGCTGGCCTAGATTTAAAATGCATTCCCTTGTATGTCACAAAGCTAATATTCTGAAAAACTACTATTTCAATATAACTGGTTTCCTTTGTGATCTTTTTTATTTTATGCATTTAAAACCAGTACTTTGAAAGGGAGCCCACAGATTCCACCACACTATCAACAGAGTCTATGGCCTAATATCCAATTAAAACCCCTGCCTCACATACATATCCCCAAAATATAATGTTCTCCTGTTCTCATCCCCCAAAGTATCTGGCTCTGTCTTCTCTCTGCAGACACCTCCCTAAGTCCAATCTCCCTACTGGCCCTTTCAGTGACGTCCTCCGGAGTGTCTATTCCACTGAGACTAAATTCCACAACCAATTTGGTTATTTCCCTGGAAATCCACCCCCCTTCCACCTCTCCCACAGTGCACCAGGGTTGGTCTCTGTGTCCCAAATATGGCAAAAAGGATGGTATGTCACTTCCTAAATTAGGTTGTATCTAAACGACACTGAAGCTTCCATTTGGATCACAGGCGCGCGCTTGGTCTCTCAGATCACTTGTTCTGGGTGAACCCTGTCCTATGGAGAGGCCCGTGTGACAGGTTAGAAGCCTCCTACCGACACCCATGTGAGTGTGCCTGGAACCAGATCCTCCAGCCCCATCAAGCCTTTTGACAACGGCAGCTCTGAACATTTGACTGTAACCTCATGAGAACCTGAGCCAAAATCATTCGGCCAGGCTGCTCCTGGACTCTTCACCCTCCGGAACTGTGGGAGAAAACAGCGGTTTGTGGACTAAAGCTTAGCAAAGTTGAGGTGCTCTGTTAGGCAGTAAATAACAAATACCCTGGGGCTCTAGTGCCTTCCCACTGTTAGTCCCCAGAGTGCTCTTAGGAGGCCAGGGCTTACAACAGCCCTGCAACGTTCTCAGCCCTCTACCAGCCTGAGGGCTCGGAGCCCAGGAACCCCCTACGGACTTGAGCCTTGGTTCACAGCTGCCCTCTCCATCCAGTCTCCTGCCACCACCAGCGACTACTGCTCCAAACACTGACTCTGCCAATATACAACGCAAATGTAGCCAGACCTCAGATACCACAGAAAGTACCTCTAACTGTCCCATCCCCTGTTCCAGAACACTGGTCCTTCTAGTCACATTGCTGCTTTTCAAACTGTCCCTTCCCCTAACCTATCCGCAGTAGGCCTGCCCCTGTTTACACCGTGGCTATCTCTCAAGCCCTTCCCCCTCCTCTATCAGGTGCCTCTGGTGTCACCTGACCCTCGCCACACTAAACAATGGCTAGCCATCTCAACCATGTTTCCAGGTAACCTTCATATCCCTTGATCCCCCCCCCCCCAGTGCTTTGTACACAATGGTTCCCAAATACATACAGACAAATCTGAGTACGTAAATATGTATAAGCGTACCAGAGAAGACCTATACTGGCAAAAATCACAACCTACAACTGATCTCTCTACACTTTTTCTCCATTTCCTTTATAATTAAAAGAATTACCTGCACAATGTGGTCGCATCCTGAATCGTTCATTTGCAATCATTTGTGACATCTGTATCGTTATCTAAGGCCAAAAGCTCAGAAGCAACTTGATCCCTCCCTCTCCATTACTCCTCACATCCGGTCTGTCCCCTTGATCCTGACTCCATCAGCACCAGCTCTCTCAAATGGACCCACTTCTTTGCACCCCCGTAAGGGCAGAGCCCTCGAAAGCATCACACGGTGCCCTTCTAACGAGGCTTCCACTCTCCAATCCACAGCAGCCAAAACACCGATCTGGTCACTCCCAAGACCATGCTGAGCAGCTCTGCAGATTCCTGAGCTCACCACAAACACCACCACCAGGGCCTCCAAATAAACGGTTTCCTCAACTCCCTTCTCTCCTCCACCCACTTACGAGGCTAAGTACTTCTCCTCCTTCAGACCCCCACTACAATGTTACCTGCTCTCCATGAGAAGGTGAGATACCCCGAAAGACTTTCTCAGGTACTCCCACAGCACTTGGCATGCGTATCTATGCCAACACACTCTATACAGAATGACTGTATAGTTTATTTTTCTCTACTTTTCTGGAGACTCGGTAAAGGAAGAGCCAGTGTCTTCCCAATTACATCCCTGTTTAACACAGTGCCTAGCACACAGAAGGTACTTGATAAATATCAGGTGAATGAAATGAATGAAAGACACATCCTACCATTTTTTTAATCCAAGAGAGGATTCAGATATCGTGGCAAAATGTCCCGTTTTTAAAACACACACCCTTGGGGCGCCTGGGTGGCTCGGCAGGTTGGGCGGCCGACTCTGGCTCAGGTCACGATCTCACAGTCCGTTAGTCTGTGAGTTCAAGCCCCACGTCAGGCTCTGTGCTGACAGCTCAGAGCCTGGAGCCTGCCCTGAGTTCTGCGTCTCCCTCTCTCTCTCTGCACCTCCTCCACTCGCACCCTGTCTCTCTCAAAAATAAACATTACAGCATTTTTAAAAAATAAAAATAAAAATAAATAAAACATACACCCTTAAGAATTATATGCTGCTGAAGTCTCAAGTTTAGTGTGAACTTATAAAGGGAGTAGAAAAATCTAAAACATTTAAGAACAGTTTAGAAAACCATTACATCAAAAATGAAAACTAATGGACACGGTTCCTTCATGTAAAACAATGTTTAACCAAAATGGCCATACTCACCTCTGTAAGCAATATTGCTAGCATGTCCTGCCTCTGAAAACGTATAGCCAGATGTACAAGGGTATAGCCAACATCAAAAGCAGAAGGGCGGTTCAGCAAGCGCACTTCGTCCGCAGTGAGCTGACGCGCAATGTCCCCTCCTGATGACTTATATGCTTCTATAGCAGCTAGATCACCTTCTACTACCCCTAGAACAAACATCAAGACAGAAAAGAGTTTAATCCTATTTTCCTTCAAAAGGCGTATCCTGTTACATTCACTCTAAACCCTTCTAAGTATTTCTCTAGGATTCCTGGACCCTGGGGCAACATTTAAATGTCCTAAAAGAATAGTAAAGAAACTTAGTGAATTCCCGTCTAGTTTCTTTCCAGAACCAGAACTACCTCCTTAGGGACTTACCGTCACATCAGCGCTGGCTCCAGGCTCTGGTGAGGTCTCGAGGAATCATTAGAATGTATTAACTGGATCAAAGACCAGTGTCTTAGTATGAGAAACTAGACTTTACAGAAGACACAACAGGTTGTGCTCCTGCCTCTGCAGAAGCCAAGGAGACAGGGATGTGCTTCCTGTTGGCTCTGGGCTCTCCCGCCCTTCACACTGCAATTCTCTAACCTGAAACAGATGCGGCGCCTTCCGTACTGCTGTTAGCTTCGAAACAACTCAGAGCAATTAAAACCATTTTCTTTTTTTTTTTAATATGAAATTTATTGTCAAATTGGTTTCCGTACAACACCCAGGACTCATCCCAAAGTGAGCGACATTTTGATTTCAGAACCTCTCATAGCCAAGTCTTCCTTACAGTCATTAAGTATCGATACAGTAAAACTTGAAACAGTTGAGTTAGGACAAAAATATGCTAAAAGGAAACATTACCAATCAGTTGGGGGACAGAGATGAAACAACTATCACTTTGTCCAAATCCATAAAGAACTTTCTGTTCCCATGAAACCACGTTACTAATCTTAACACAAATTAATGTTAAGATAGTAATCCTAGGGGCGCCTGGGTGGCGCAGTCGGTTAAGCGTCCGACTTCAGCCAGGTCACGATCTCGCGGTCCGGGAGTTCGAGCCCCGCGTCAGGCTCTGGGCTGATGGCTCAGAGCCTGGAGCCTGCTTCCGATTCTGTGTCTCCCTCTCTCTCTGCCCCTCCTCCGTTCATGCTCTGTCTCTCTCTGTCCCAAAAATAAATAAACGTTGAAAAAAAAATTAAAAAAAAAAAAAAAGATAGTAATCCTATTTAGTAAGCAGTACAGTACACATCTATGAATAATAAATAGCCTTGGCAAAAAAATAAAGGTGTAGGTAAGCTTCAATTTACCACAGTGTTACACACACACACACACACACACCCCAAGACTGTAGGAACAAGTAATTTTAAGTGTTTCCTAAGTTGCATCATGAAAAATTTGTTGGGTAAAATGCTAAAACCAGCTAAAAATACTCATAGCATATTCTTTAAAAGCATTTTTTTATTGTCATCTTGATTTGGAGAAATAGGAACTATTCCTTGGAGAAAAACAGACTGGTACAATGCAACAATTTCTCCCAGTTATTAAAAAGAGCAAATCTTGGGGCGCCTGGGTGGCTCAGTTGGTTAAGCGGCCAACTCTTGGTTTCAGCTCAGGTTATGATCCCACGGTCAGTGAGTTCAAGCCCTGCATCAGGCTCTGTGCTGTCTCCCCTCCCTCCCTCCCTCCCTCCCTCCCCAAAAAATAAACATTTAAAAAAATAACTAATTTTAAAAAAATAAATAAAAATTAAATATAAATAAAAATATCAAAGCTTCAAAATGATAATTCCCACGTTCCCTGAATGCCCATGACACACAAACCACTATGCTAGGCAGTATGAGAAGCACAGACAGTAAAAAAGGATTCCTATATTCAAAACAGCCCTTTATCATCACATCTGTGGGCCACAAAAGGCCAGCTTCAAAAGTTTTCAGACTCGGGGCGCCTGGGTGGCGCAGTCGGTTAAGCGTCCGACTTCAGCCAGGTCACGATCTCGCAGTCCGTGAGTTCGAGCCCCGCGTCGGGCTCTGGGCTGATGGCTCAGAGCCTGGAGCCTGTTTCCGATTCTGTGTCTCCCTCTCTCTCTGCCCCTCCCCCGTTCATGCTCTGTTTCTCTCTGTCCCACAAATAAATAAACGTTGAAAAAAAAAATTTAAAAAAAAAAAAGTTTTCAGACTCTGCCGTCAAAGACCCTTTCTGCAAATCTAGACCCACTCTCCAGAAAAAGGACACCACGCTGCCAACACACACATTTTTCAGGTGAAGAATCCAAGGTATCAAATGAGAACATCTCCTTACAGGAACTTTTATTTTCACAGCAATGTAGGTCAATCCCTTCTTCAACAGAAACACCTAAGTGCAGCTGTAACCCCCCACCTCCACTACAGAAGGGGCTTTAAAACACCCTTAGGAGGCACAGCGCCCTACAGAAGTCATCAGGGTTACAACGTGATACGGCTGGCATGAATCTTCTCCAAAGGGCGAGCCTTAAGAACAGACACAGAAATCCTACTTGAAATAAAAAACAAATCTACGGTTATCAAGTACACAAAAAACTAAAATTTCTGCTTAACTTGTGTTAGTGAACAGATGAGAATCATCAAAGAAAGCTTGTAACCTTTTCAATAATTTAATGTCATTCATCTTTTTAGAACCAAATATGCCCCAGGCCATTTCCTTTTGTGTATGTATTACCTCCTTGTGAAGGCGACTACTTTTCACTCGAGTCCTAGTTTCCAGGTGCCTGCAGAATCACTGCACCTTTTACAGGTTTTAAGCTTTAGCCTAAGAAAATAGAAGTTTATAAAGTTTCTTTCTAGGACATAAGAAACATTCTAAGCTCTGCCAAAAGCAACCCAAGGACCACAAAGACAGAACAACAGACGTGAAAAGATAAAGAGGAAGCCCTGCCTGGAGCACGTGCACACGCCCGGTTAGGCACGCGTGCACACATGCACAGCTGTGTTCCCCGCCGACGAAGGTGGCTGCCAACCAACTCGGTCCTTCTGGCTGCAGGACGGCAAGGTCTTCCAAATCACTGTCTTCACTGTTCTAGCTAACTCACCGTGCAGCTGACATCTAGAGGAACGTCCTCTTAGAAATTCTTGCTTAAGAATTCACTTCCTTGCTAATGTTTCTGAGGGATTTCTGTAATTAGAAACTAGCATAATCAAAGGGGGGGGGGGGTACAGCGCGCTCTGGGATTATGATTTACAACATCTCCCAATCAGCCTTCAGAGTGTTGTTTTTGGTTTTTTTTAATATAAACAGAATGTCAAATAGTGAAATGCACGGTATAGCAATTCTATTTCAATCGTGCGGATACATACATACACACAAGACCAAGACTTCTATCTGCCCGAATCCAAATACCAAAACAACTCCTTCTGCCAGCCCCCAACCGCCCACTGAAGTGCAGACCGGGTGCTGCCGCTCCTCAGCGCCCCCCCCCCCCCGCACCAAGTACACCCAGGAGGGCAGGAAACAGGAATGAAGAGATTAGAGACTTTGTTCTCTATTCTTCACAGCACAAAATCCTCCACATCTTCTAGAACACGAAAAACACAAATTTAAGTATAGGCACAAAGTAATGTTTTGAAGAAAAATATTTTATTATCTAATGTTTGGGAAACAAAGGATTCCATTCTTGTCATTAACCGTAATAAAGAACTCACAGTTTCAGTTACCGGTGAATTTTCAGCTACAAACGTGAGTACCGTTATTACAAATTTCATGAGACTGTCACTGAACTGTCCAAATTTTGGGACTATCTTTATGACACATTGTTCAAGGGCAGCTACCGATTGAAGTTTAGACAGTTTCTTGACAGATGGTGAAGTTTTCACTGTAAACAGGATATTTAAAAGGATCTGGCCCAGGGGCGCCTGGGTGGCGCAGTCGGTTAAGCGTCCGACTTCAGCCAGGTCACGATCTCGAGGTCCGTGAGTTCGAGCCCCGCGTCGGGCTCTGGGCTGATGGCTCGGAGCCTGGAGCCTGTTTCCGATGTTGTGTCTCCCTCTCTCTCTGCCCCTCCCCCGTTCATGCTCTGTTTCTCTCTGTCCCAAAAATAAATAAAAAACGTTGAAAAAAAAATTAAAAAAAAAAATAAAAGGATCTGGCCCATACTCAGATCATGTAAAGTTTTAGCTACCAAATGTTTTCTACTTAGGGGGGAAAAAGTATCCGATTATACGCAAAACAACTTACAAAAAGTCTTTTGAGTGCTTCACATAACATTTTTACCACCTCTAAAATCAGGGGATAAAGAAAAGGAGGAAGAGGGGAGAAGAGCTGGTAGGCAGGAAAAGACAGCAAAATAAACCAAGTGGTAAAATCTCACTTGGTGTAACAATGACCAGGAAAAAGTTCCAGCAGAAGACAGGTGATGTGCACATGCCTTCCTAGTCACTGACCTCCCATGCAGCCTCCAAGAGCAGCTGAAACATCTTTCTCCTCGTGTTTTCTTTTTTAAACTTAACAAATGTATCATTACATGTTCTGTCCCTTCTTCCTCCATGCTATGAAGGCAAACTGAACGGACAGCTGAAGGCTTCTGAGAAGATGAACTTTATAAAACTAACCTATGGTTACCAACACACATTCAAAACTGAGTGAAATACACAGCCAACTATATGCAGTGGTGCAGAATTACAGGTAATGGAAAGGGTTAATATCCTTTTAAAAACATGAATGCCTAGAGGTAAATGAAAGTTACTACATGTGACAAATATGAAGTTTAAAAATAAAAGTTCATATTGTTCTACAAGCTGGGCCAGGTGTGGGATTTAACATACTTTGAAGCCACGGGTCGTAACTCAACTGGGGACTTCACAGCTACTATGGAACTCCGTTGGTTAGAATATGGAGCTGGCTCATAGATGTTTAGAAAACAGACTTATTTTTTTCCCCCATATATGGCACAGTTTTCAAAGTTTTGCCTTATTTTCTTTTATGACATAAAATCATAATGGTAACTAACTTTGAAAAGAATGCCAAATGGTAAAAAAAAAGCCAGGACTTACCTGAGCCCACATGGGCCAGCTCAACACTACCCTGGAGTTCTATGGTAGCTGTGACATCACAGCAGGGTTTATGCTGTGGGGTCAGGGTGGACTTGGAGTCAGCTGGCACAATTTCAGGAGCCCTTAAAGAGAAAAGTTAGTTTTAAGTGGTAATG